AGGGGTTTTTGACTTCAGGCAGTCACTACAATCACGTCATCTTTGCCCAGGTATTTAAAATGATCATTTTTATATTTCAAATTGTGTTAGTCCAGTCACATTTGAGCCTTTGAAATTGTGTTATTATGCAAAACGCCAAAACATTCCAAACAATTAATGCAATGTGTTTGTTAAACCCCTTGTAGTGACAATAAAAGTTTGCACTTCACTTACATCTTGACTATCTGATTTAAAATCCACTGTGGTGGTGTAAAGAGGAAAAATTACAAATATTGTGCCATAGCCCATACACTTATGCACTTAACTGTACAATAAATTTCCCTTTAAAGTCGAAACACTGAGCAGATGATCAGTACTGTGGCTCAGTGGTTAGTAGCATCACCTAACATTTGAGAGGGCCCTGCAAAACATAAGCAGCCAGAGAAATTTAATAAACAGCTGTTTAGCATCGAACATCTTTTCTAGCATTGCTTAATTTAAGACACCAGACTTACCCAACCAATGATTCTACAATCCTAGCATGGCCTTGAAAAAAGGTTAGTCTCAGGCTAACAACATGACTGGGATAAAATGCATTGCATGGACTAATGCCTCATAACCTGTCCTGTCACTTCTTCAGCCAGGTAGCTTCTTTCACAGATCAGTAAGAGAAGGGCTTAGAAAGAAGGAAGAAAGGGGAGGGGCTGAGTGAGGATCAGTAGCCAAAGATACCACAGATAGACTGAGTGGGAACACAACCACCTTACAAGATGCTGCCATTTCTGCATGCAGCATAGCTAAGCTAAAGCTATTATGAAACACTTGGAAAGCTGTTGTTATTTACACTGCAAATATTCAAAGCAGTCATAACAGGTTTTTACAAAAACACCTTTATTTAGGCAAACCCACCTTATCTACTGTGATTCTGCATGGTCTGAGGACTGTGAGACATATCTTTTACTAAATAAAGGCTACTAACAAATGCAAAAAACATCCAGCTTTGCAACAAAGTATACTAAAGTTAGTCAAGCTGATGTACCAATCTGAGGCCTGACTTATAACCATGTCACTTCCCTTCTGCTTTGATCGATAATTTACATCAAAGCAAGCAATGGAGGACAGTAAAGGAAAAAGAAGACTGACAAACACAGAGTAGAAGACATCATGAGAAAATGAGTTCAGAAAACTAAGAACAGGTGAAGAGGGAACAAATGAAGATGGAGAGAGAGAAACAGAAGCAGGAGCGGTTAAGAGCAGAGACAGATAGGAGCAGCAGCAACAGCACCACGCTTGGTGCTTTGGCAGAGATCTATAAATAGCTCTTCAAATCTCTCTAGAAAAAGCCACTCTTCTGCTTATGCTGCTGCAAACAGAGATTCAGAGGCAAAAGCAGATATCTGAGTGATAAATACACAGATATAATCTTATTGGATAAGTTTCTTTTTTTAATTACTCTAGGTTTAAAATATGCTTACAATGGCCACATTGGCTTGTATGAATACATGAATGCAGGAAGCAAATACATTAAAGTGAGCAAGTTAGCATAAAAACCACATGATTTACTAGAATAGGCGAAAGCACCCTGCAAACCACAATAAACACAAACATGAAATTACATATACTTAACAGATAGTAATCAACAAATTTCCTGATTTTCATAAAACTCCATAAGCAATCAATACTTCACAGTTACATGAATTTATGTATATGCACAAAGATCCACAGGCTGCAGGGTATAAGGGAGGGAAATATGTTGACAGAGAGGCAGGTTACTCCATCTTTCTCATTGGTGGCCTTAGCAACAGTAGACTGTTGATTCAATGACTCACCTCCTACAGATCTTACAATGGACCATACTTTTCAATGATACTGCCCTGACACCAACAATCATACTCTGTGTTGCTTACAAAATATTTAAGAGAATAAAGCTGTATTAGGGAAAAAATTGATTATAAAGTAGTAACAGTGCTTTAAACCAGAAAAACTAACATTGCTTTATCGGGGTTATCACCTTGGACTACTATTAATCTAACTGGGAAGCATTTTTATGACAATCTCAACATCAAATGGAACTAAAATGGAAGTCCCTGCTTGCCACTTATCAGTTCTCATTGTCACATGACTGGCCAACACCAATTGATATGTTGGGGGGGGAGTTTTTTGTTGTTTTCCCAGGCACACATGTCATTTTCCCAGAGCAGATGTTTGAACCACTTATTCTATGCTGTTATCCCACCTTGTTTTCACAGCACTGTTGCTGCCTATTTTTGGATTGAGTTTCAAAAAAGTAAAGCTAAAGCCAAGACTCCGAGAGTGATGACCAGGTGTGAAGTATGTCTTGAGAAAACCCCACTGTTTTCTTGATCACTTACGATTGTGCGATTTACTGGGGCACAAATCTCTAGCCAGCTCTGAGTCACTAATAATGAATTATTAAGGAATTAAGACTGGAAGAGCCAAGGCTTAAAATCACTGATATTTACTTGAATGTCAAAAAGCAAGCTAATGAAAACACTTAACACAATACAACCTTAAATTGCTTGGAGCAGTGAAGACGGCTTAGTACTGTAGTACAACCTGCATTCCGCCATGCAACCCACCGGCACTCAGTCCTATAAAAACACTACAGCTCTGTAACTTTCCGTTGGTTTGTATTAATATCTCAACCTTGTTAGCTGACGTTTCAAGTCTTGAGTTGTTATATGAAAGTCACACACGTCAATAAATAAAACTTTGTTGTATCCAGTGTGTGTTTTGAGTATGACTTCAATGAAGAGCCATACGCAATTAACAATTACTTAATTTTGATTCATCCAGATAGTTAATCGCTTCGGAAAAAGCAAATATTCCCAGGGTTTTAGTGAACCTTCTCGGTCACGATTGGAAGGATAAAATGTTAACATGGCCATCTCGTGCCTGGCATAGAGAAGGCGGACTTTAAAGATGGTGCTTAACGTTGCGTTACATATTAAAGATAGTGGCTCTTGAGTCATCTTCGCGGGTTCGGCTTACCGTGTTGTTGGCAGTATGTCTTGAGTTGCGTGGAGAATCCTTCAACTTGGGTCTGTAGAAGACAGATGGCAGTTTGGTCAGAGTCGTAGCTGTGCAGCTGACTGAAAATATTAGCTTGCCTCTATGCTAACAATAGCTAGTTCACAGCATTAGCCTGCCTCGTCCGGCGTGTATAATTAGCTACCTAGCTAATACTAGCCCGCTAGCTAGCCTTTTCTTTTTAGTGGACGCTAGCTACTCAGCGTCCATGAAACACAACGTTAATATTACAACTCGCTGTTCAATAAGAGTGTGCCATGGATCACAGAATGGCGAAACTTGCTGTGGACATGTACAAGCACTGTCAGGTCTCAAAATAGAAGGTGCTAGCTAGTACGGTTAGCAAGCTTTCCAAATGACTTACCGATGCTAATATAATGGTGCTGCTAGCTTGAGTTGGCTCACCGCGACCCCGACTGTCAAAATAGCGCCGCGTGAGGGGAGAGCAGCATGGACGTTAATGCGAGATAGCAAGCGCTGAAGAACACGGCGGTCGAGTCCGACGCAGGAATACTGCTAAATAACAACAAAACCCTAAAGAATAAATGACACAAAACTAAAGAAAAAAGAAACAAAACGCTATTCCCCCGTCAGGGCTCCGGCTTGTGTGTGTTAGCGTCACTTTTTTCCCCTCACCGACAGTTGACGTCAGCGGCGTACCTCCTAGTCGTACGGATACGTAGCCTACAGGATGCATGAGAACTTTGTTTTGTGCATCAAGCGTTAAAATGTAATATGCAGTTTCGTTACATCTCAGTGATGTTTGAAAATCTATTACTGGGATGTAATTTGACAGCTGTCCACTTCTGTAGGAGATGTGTCATTCAAAGTTGTTTAAATACTATAAAATGTAACGATTTCACATTTCTTAAGATGATATTTTTCTTCTTATAGCCTATAACATCTAGTCTATCTAATAAACATTATATATATATATATATATATATATATATATATATATATATATATATATATATATATATATATATATATATATATATTATTGTTTGTATTCACGGCAGTAGTTAAAAATACGCTGGTTTTAACCTTATTTTTCAAACCTCCCTAGGAAAAATGCTGACAATTCTAGGTAATAAATGTAACGTGTTTATTTGATTTAACGTTTAAATTATTCAAATGTATTGGGCACATTCTTTGACACCACTTGGTGAGGTCAGTTGTAATTCTCAAAATGCCCCACACGTGGGCAGGCAAGTACTCCTTTAACATGATAAGGCCTTGACTCACATTTAACACTAAACGTGAACACAAAGAAAATAAAAGAAATAAAAATGCGTGCAACCCGTGTTGTGATCCATACAGTTTATGTTTGTGGAGATGTGCGCACAATCAACACGTGACCGCTTTAGGATAATCTGTTTCACAATTATTATTTCCATGTGCATATGCATGTAGTTTATGTGTTAAATGATTGTGGAAGTCATTGTTTTTCCTGCTCACACTGGACCTGGACCCCGACATGATGAAAAGAGGGTCACTTTAACGTATTTTTGCCTATTTAAGTGCATACACTGTCCGGCTTATTGGCAGCGTTATCTTTAGTAGGCTATGTCAAGCTGGCTCAGCACTTTTGCGAGAACCCAGACAGACAAATCATGTACCGACATGAAGGCAGGATTCGCCTTTTCCCAGCTTTCTCTTTCTCTCCTTCAAACACACACACACACGCACACACATACACACGCGAGGCATCGTTTTACTGCACCACATTATGACACCTTGCAGGAAACATGACGGAACGTGTTTCAAATACCGCGTTAAACTCTCTGCCTCATATCCTCGAGTGTTTTCGGTCAGGTTAAGCTAAAGCCCACGGATTCAATTGCTTGGTGTCTGTGGGACACGAATATTCTGTAAGTAGGTTAAAGGGCAGAGAATTTCAACTTTGATCGACAAGAGCGTTGGCAGGTTACGTATCAGTGGCACTGAAGTGGAGAAACGTGGCACAGAAAATACCTGTTGTGATAAACTCAAGACCTTATCGGGCTTTCCCGATATGTGTCCAAACCAGCCATGGACTTGCGTAGTAATTAATCTAAAGCAGCGTGTGATATCATGTAGCACCTGTATGCAGCGACTGTGAGACAGTAACCTACATGTGAACGCGTGTTGCGTGCGTGTGTGTTGCGTGTGCCCGTGCGTGTGTTGTGAGAGAGGACAGAGGTGTTTTGCCAGTAATTTCCAAGCTTCCCGATGCGCTCATTGGTGCATCCTTCCAACGTGTCACCAGTTTTGGTGGATTACCCCAGATATCTTTACCATCAGGAGGGTGAAACATCACTCAGCTCCTCTCTTCACGAGCTACCAACAAGGACCTCTGACGTTCGGGAGACTTTCTTTCGCAAAGAACAACTCAGAAGGGGAAGGATTTGAAGATTTTTTTTTTATTGGTTTTCCAGTTTAGAAGTCTGGACGTTTATTAGTTACCTCAGTCCGAGTACAAATACGCAGTTATTTACTTCAAGATCGAAGATGGCCATGTCTTTGTCACTCTCAGCGTTCCTCCTGTTGGCACCGTTGCTGTTTAAGGGTCTCTGGGTCAGTGGCTCCCCGGGCTGCGCGTCTTGCAGGTTGTCAGCGATGGATAAGGACGCAGAGGAAAGGATGATGATAGAATTCGCCAAGCAGCAACTTTTGGACAAACTGCACCTGAAAGAGAAACCAAACATCACTCACACCGTGCCCCGGGTCGCGCTCCTCACGGCGCTGCGCAAACTTCACTCGGGGCGCGTCAGACAGGATGGTACCCTTGAACTAGAAAACAATATACCAACCAGAGATCAAGCCTATGAAATAGTGAGCTTTGCAGATATAAGTAAGTCTTGTATCCACTTTCTATGCTATAAAGCTGTTTTCGCATGGCATAATAACGCTACAGGAGAGCGCGTTGTGATTAATAAGGTCTCTTTTCCTGCGTAAGATATTAACATAAGGCTAGGGTTCCCTGAACTATTATATTGTAATATTAAGGATCCAAGTATCTATCGTTACTTATGTGCAAAAAGGTTTGCTCCCCTTGGGCAAACTACATATTTTATTGCCTTTTAAAGTGGAAATACATGAACTGGTGGTAAGCAAGCTTTAAAAGGAATCTATCTTTCAGTGTTACATTGTTGCACTTTTAACAAGATTTACACGGGAAAGTAATAAAAAGTGAATTTACGTAATTTCGTGCAGGTTGTGGTGATAGGATTCTGATTTGGAGTTGGGTGGCAGACAAAGAGGACAAGAATGAATATGTAAATCAAAATCTGTATGAAGTGCATAGACAGCTTCTACAAAGAGGAGTGCAAATGACTAAAAGCCCTCTCTCAGGTTTCTGTTGCTGGGGTCTCCAAAATCTGTTATACATATTCACAACATAAAATGCAACGGTGCATTTAAATTTGAAGAAGTCTGAAGATGGCTGCTTGCTCCAGGACTTGCATTTGGGTCTTTATATTTAAAATCAAATATACATGTAATCTGCCTAAACATTTAAATACAATATCCCTTGTGCTGTATTGTAGGAAAAGTTAACCATAAGGTAAAATGCTTAAAACAGTGAAAGAGGATTGTTACTTCCATTAATTTTATAAGGGTAAGAAAGGTGATGAGCTATGAAGTTTTTCCAAATATTAACATTGTGTGTTTTTCTTAATTGTCATTGTTTCATAGATGATGCAAAGAGCAGTGACAAGGCAAGCGTTAGCCTTACCTTTCAGTTTCTGCAGGAACGTGGCCAAAGTATCCAGGTCCTCCAGTCCTCTTTGTGGATCTATGCCCGTGCCTCTGAGGACCCACAACGGAACTCTCGTCTCCTTGCCCAGGTTTTCCTCTCCGTAGATGGTGACATCTCAGGCTCTAATCGGACCTTGGTGATGGAAAAGATGTTGCACGTCAAGGAGAGTAACTGGCACACTTTCTCTGTCACCCACACCCTGCAAACCTTCTTGGACGGGGGCCAACATCGGCTGCAGCTGGAGGTCACCTGCGAAGAAGACGGACAGAACCTTTGCTCCCTAGATGGCTCTGCTGAAACCCCCTACCAGCCCTTCCTGGTGGCTCAGGTGCGTCTCCGTGATGACCACTCCAAGCATTTGCTCAGGAAGCGCTCAGTGCGTTGCGGTGACGATGTAACAGTCTGCTGCAAGAGAGACTTCTACATCAAGTTTAAAGACATCCAGTGGGATGAGTGGATCATTGCGCCTGAAGGCTACCATATGAACTACTGCATGGGACATTGCCCCCAACATCTGTCCGGTTCCCCAGGTATAGCATCCTCATTCCATGCCACTGTCTTCAGCCAACTCAAAGTCAATGGTATTAACACAGCTACAGCCTCATGTTGCGTTCCCACAGAGCGTCGACCACTCTCAATGGTTTACTTCAACTCTCAGCACAGCATTGTCAAAACAGATGTCCCTGACATGATAGTGGAGACCTGTGGATGCACATAAAAAATTGAGTATTACTATTAGTGGTATAATTAATTATTTTCTTGAGTGTATTGTAGACAAGTTGACTTAAAGAAACACAAATTTGACCAACTTTGGACAAACAACTTTTACACAGAGTACTTTAAAATGAGAAATGCCCACCCAAAAGACTTTTAAATTATCGACAGAGGATGTTACTAGACTATCTTTACAAATACAAACACGTTTGTTTTATAGCAGTTACTCAATAGGTGTGTTGTGTGTATTTTTGCATAAACGTATGAATTAACACTCTAGGTTTACATTAAGAAAATTATGGGCACAAAAAAGAATATTATGAGTATATAAGTATTATGTTCTAAAGAAATAGGTATTGATACAGTTTACTGCTTGTAGTAACTTTTAATTTATTTCTAAACTCTTGTAGTCAGTATTTAAAGAATCTCAAATGCATTTCAGTGCCTAGAGGTGAGCAAATACGCTAAGTCTGGATGCAGATACATTTATTCTTTTATATGTCAGAGACAAAAATCAAAGAGCAGCACTAAAATATGAAAGACTCAATAATAAAGTTTAGATTTCAATGCAAAAAAGTACAGTGAATACAAATGTACAGTAATGATATCAGGTTCCATTTTCAAACGTATATAAACCCATAAAGTCTTGCATTAATTAATTTTCACTTTTGTCGTTTGTACCTTACAACTTTTACTTTTCACATGCTGCCGGGATGAAGTTCAAAGATGCACTACATTTTTTTCCTAATTCATTGTATGTTTTATAGTCTGTTTTGTGTTATAATCAGTGTCCAAATGTAAAAAAATTATATATATATTCTATACTTTCATTTTTACGTAACTATTTCTTTCATTGTAAATCTTCATCCACCTAAATGCTGCTGTTTTACAGAAATGCTTTCAAAGCAATGAAAAACTTTTAAAGCGTGCCTTTTTCTTTAACTTCTGATGACATTAAAGCAAATACATTTACATTCCACAAATACTTTGATCACATTGTGAGGCTGCGAGGGGAACAAGTTGTTGTTACAATGCAAGAAATCTGGACTGATTTCTGTCAAAGGGTACCCCATGCTGCATGTAGCTGGAATATGTTTAATCAGCATCTCCACTGTATTATTTACACAACCTGGCTTATCATTTGGGCAACTGTGGCTCAAACAGCATATGAATGCAAGGTTATTCTCAGCAATGTGAGCAAACATTTAGCTATTGCTTCAGTGTCAGGTGAAGGTTTGGAGGGTAGGTAGGTCAGTGAGCATGTGCTGCTGCACGCTGGCATTTTTAGCTCTCAAAGTCTAAAGATTGCAAAATTTCATGCTTTCCAGGTGGAGCCAGTCTTGTTTCTTTCATATGCTGGAAACATCGTACACGTGTCCCAGTAGCATAATTTACGTTTCATAATTTCACAATCTTTGCATAGCTGTATAGTTTTAACTGTATAGCAGAATGTCTATCGGAACATTACCAAGTAAAGCAAATGTTTACCGATTTCCATACTAAAATCACTTCACAGTTTAAATTTGGTGGGAAACGGTGCAAACTGAGATCTACTCAAGGAAGGGAAAAATGAAAACAGCAGTACAACAACGAGAAAGCAAAGGAGCTCAGCAATAGATTTTTTTTTTAGTTTCCCCAACTTTGAACCTGGAAGAGTGTTAATAAATTAATGTCTATCAATACATCACATTTTTATTTTTAGAGATGATACCCAGGGTTTCTTTACTTCTACCTGTATTAACACTGTGTTCATCTTGGCTGTATTGATATACTATATGTCTTACGGACTTGGATTTTACAGCCATAATGCAAAGGAAACAACTGAAACAGTGCATGGGGGAATTTTTTACCAAAGACCATAAAAACCCTTTTATTTTAATTTTGTGCTGATATTTGATAAACTATTTTCACCTCTCTCTCTCTTGCCTCTATGTGCTGCTCTTGTATTAAAGCAATTTACTTTACACCTGTGTGAAATAATTATAAAACTGTTGTATTTTAATATTATGATTGATATTGTAGGCACTTCTTGTCCAAGACTCAATGTGACATTGAAGTGCCATTGCAACATATCTTATTAAGCACTTTATCACCCTACTGTATTTTAGAGTGTGCTGACAGTTCTATTACTGCACTTAATGCATCAGGTTGGCATTACCTGAAATACCTAAAAGCGGGCCTACAGAAAGAAAATGTCAATTTTCAAAGTTCTAGTTGTTTTTAAAAGTGTGTGTGTGTGTGTGTGTGTGTGTGTGTGTGTGTGTGTGTGTGTGTGTGTGTGTGTGTGTGTGTGTACTTTTGGAGCATTCACAGAATGCAAGAATTTGAATTCTGTTTCAATTGAAATTTGTAATCGTTGTTATTTTTGTATCATATTATTTTGTTTTATGTAAATGAAAAATTTGTAAGAGCAAATACAATTCAGAAAAGTCAGTGTGTGATAAAATGTCATGATTCTATTTTTAATTAATAAATAAATCTATATTTTAAACAGACTAAATTGCTTCATTGTATTTTATTGTATAAATGGCATTTTATTGTATGTGTCAATAATATAAGCCACAACACACTGCAGTGTACAGCAAAAGCAGTACTGGTTATTAGGTAAATTAAGCCAACTGTAGCAGCAAAATGTAAGTACAGTACTGTGCAACAGCCTTGTGTCATGGTCCTGGGTCGGTGACCCAGCGCTTTTAGTTTGTTATCATTTTCTAGATGATGATTGTTTAAGTTCTGTGTTATTTTCGATCTGCCTCTGAGTCTGCGTCTGTATCTGTCTGTCTATGGTGTCTCCCCATCTGTTTGTGAATCTGTCTGTTTAGTTCAATGTCTTGTCTGGTTCCATGTATCTGAGTTTCCTGTTTTATTGTGAAGGTCCGTGTCGTATGTGAGTGTGATCAGTTTACGTTTCCCCTGTCCCGTCAGCCCAGATTCCTCCCAGATGTGTTGCCCTCCTGTCTCTCATCCCCTGATTACTGGTGTGTGTATTTAAGCCCTGTGTGTTCTCCTGCCTGTTGCCGGTTCGTCTGTGTTCCTCGGTGTCAGTCTGTGTTCCTCGGTGTCCTGCTCGTCTCTCTGGCTCTCTTCCCTTTTTTGTTTCATCTCAGGTTTGTCATTTAGCTTTCCCAGTTCAGGTCTTTAGTTTTGTCTTCCCTCTTGCCTGTTTTGCCTTCTCACCACTGTGTAAATAAACTCACCGGCATCTCATCCACTGCCTGCATCTTGGGTCCTTCTTCTAACTCCACACGGCTCGCCTCGGCAGCCGTGACACCTTGAGCCCATCTTTCCTCCCATTGCTTTAGTTGAATCTATAAAAATAACAAAGATAAAACAGACTTAAAAAGAGTATTTTTGCACCAACAAGCTGATTCCCAAAGACCTGTTAGATCAAACCTTGGCATATCTCAGCATGGTATGTAGTGTGTTCTTAAAATAAATCTGATGAAACTGAACAAATCAAAGACAAAACAATAAGTGGCAAACTTAAAAAAAAAAAAGGCATCCACAGCAGATGATCAGTTTCTGAATATCATGTTAACAAAGACGGGAAAGAATCCAGCAAAAACCTGAAACAGAACCTGAGAGATGCATCTGGCCCTTTAATCTAATAATCACCAAAGCCTCATCAGAAATGGTCTCAACCTGGGTGTCTATTGTCTTGTGTAGTTTGGGAGATGATTGGATGATGGGGTGGGTGCAGTTTTCTCTGGGGTGGAGTCGGGTGGGCTGCCCCGGACTCTGTGGGGCTGGGTGGTGCTGCTGCTGCGGGCCCCGGTCCGGATGGGCCTGGGCCCCCTTGCCCTGGTGGGTTCCAGAGTGTGGGGGTGCCTACTGGGGTCAGCGGGGGAGCTGGCCCCAGGGAGGGGCCGCTTGCCCCTCCCTGGGGTCAGCGGGGAGCTGGCCCCAGGGAGGGCCGCTTGCCCCTCCCTTTCTTCCCTCCCCATCCTCAGCTGCCTCCCTATTCCCGCTCTACCACACCCACCCACACACGCAGGGCTTGGGGTGCAGGTATGTCACCAGGATGCAGGGGAGGCACTCCCCCTCTGTCCCCTTCTGGCCGCCTGTGCCTCAATTTTATTCTGCAACCTAGACATCCACATTACTCACACTCTCACATAACACATACATATAGGGCCTTGGGGGTGGGCACGTTTTACAGCATCCAGAGGATGGTCGGTGTACTCCAACCCACCTCTGGCGCTGGTGCCCTACCCTCAATTTTAAATGCATTTAGACACTAAGGGTTTTCGGGAAGAGCCGTGCTGCTCTCTGAGAGGAAGCTAGTACCATGCTCTCCTGAGTTTTAAATGCACTTTAGAACAGCACACAGCAACACTACATATGAGCGGGCGTAGGGAGGTTTGAGGTCTTCACTCACCCCAGTTCTGTTAGCCGTCAGGGCTGGGGGGCTGGGAGGAGGTGCTGGCCGTCAGACTGGGGTCTGGGATGCGGGGCCTCCCTGCTACTGCAGATAAGGAGGTGGTCCGGTTGCCTCCACCCCAGAGAGAAGGATTACATCTCCTGGGTCTAGGTGCAGCTTGCCCCTCTGAGGGCGGGGGTACCTGGACCTGGGATATAGAGTATGTTTGGGGAGTGCGACTGTCTGTGCAGTGTCTATTTGTGTCTGTCTACACGTTGGGTGAGTGCCAAGTATTTGGTTGTGTATATGGGGTAGGAATGCACGTCTGTGTCCGCGTGCGCCTGTTCGTCTGTGTCTTTAAGTCAGGTTGGGTCTTAGACTCAACCTCTCTGGGTACATCTCAGGCACTCTAAAGTACGGAGGCCTATCTCCCCTCACCACACTCCCTGCCGGTGGCTGATGCCCTCAGACGTTGGTGTGTTGGTGTTCCTTGTCGTCTGGGGCTGGGCGCTCATGTATGTACCAGCTCACTCCTGGTGGCCGATTGGCGGGGCCTGGCGCCTGTGGCCTGGCTGGGCTCCTTCCGGGGGGTGGGATGCCCCAGGCCTCTGGCCTCTGGCCTGAAGCTCGGTCCTCTCCCGCGGGCACGCCACTGCAACCCCCTCTGGCCTCTGCTCCGTAGCTGCGGGGTGACCTCTCCTTTGGGGCTCCACTCAGCTCTTCCCAGGAGGGTGGCACGGTACCCCCCCCCCCCCCCTTTGATGGTCCTCCTCGGGTCCTTGTACTCTGGGGCCTCTGGATATCTGGGGCCTGGATCTTCTCCATACCTGCTTCATACCCTGGAGGACGGGGCTATGGCTCCCCACACTCCCTAGCAGATCGTTACATGGAGAAACCTTTGGAATACAAGCGTGCTGATCCACACAGGTATGCACAGACGCGGACTACACCTTTCTTGGCTGCTGCCTCAAAGCACATTGTGCGCTGTCTATCTTGCGTGCTGCACAATATCGTTTATTATTTAGTATCTACTGTTATCTACTGCTAGCTAGTTTATTGTGATGGTGCTGTTTTTTTATTATGTTGCTCTGTGTTGTTTGCTTTCTCTTCTGTTTTTTTTCTCCATACAGGTGATCCAGGTGTTTTGTTTGTTTGTTTTTTCTTTCTTCCCCCCCTTCTCACCGTCTCTTCTCCCCTTTGGTTTTCTTTCTCTCCCTCTCTTTCTTTCATTCTTTCTCCCTGTCCTATCCCCCAGTCATGTCTGTCCCGTTTGTAGCAACCGAAAATAAAATAAATTCATAATTATATTAAAGGTCAATCAAATGGACCAATATGGCAAGGCCATGATGATCCACTTGGTAAAATAAATCCGCTTGGCATCTTTCTTGGCCTTAAGACAACAATTCTGATGGCTAAAGATCCAAACGGGACACAAAAAAAAAGAAAAAAAAGAAAAAAGAAATGGTCTGGAGAAAATGCTGAGGTATATCAGATTACACAAGAACTTGGCTTAAAATCAGTGGCAAAAGGTCTTATGGATTGTTGTAGCTCATGAGGTAGAGCAGGTCCATCTACTAACTGGAAGGTTAGTCGTTTGATTCCTGGCTCCCCCAGTCTCCATGCCAAGTATCCTTGGGCAAGATCTCCAATGCAGCCATCAGAGACTGAATGTGTGTGAATGTTAGCTAGAAAGCACTGAAAAGCTTAGAAGAAAGCACTTGTGTGAATGGGTGAATGTGGCATGATGTATAAAGCCTGTGACTGCTCCGGGAGAGTAGACAAGCGCTTTATAAGGTTCAGTCCATGATTAATTTTAACTTTTTGGTTCAGGTCAGGAGAGAGGTACAACAGCAAGTGTCTATACCCATCTATAAGATGTGGTGGAGGTGCTGCCGTGGTTTGGGGCTGCATTTCAGTCAGTGGTGTTGGGGATCTTGTGAACATTCCTCCCTTGGTTCTGCTGCAATAGGCCTAGGCTGCTGGGGGCTCCCCACGATGCACTGAGTGTTTCATCTTCACTCACCTTTTTCCCGCACTCTGCATTTAATCATTAACTATTATTAATCTCTCTCTATCACAACATGTCTTTAGTCCTGTCTTCCTCCCCTTACCCCCAACTAGTCACCTGGTGGTTCTCACCGAGCCTGGTTCTGCTATTGCTTTCCTCCTGTTAAAAAGGAGTTTGTCCCTCTCACTATCGCCAAAGTGCCTGCTCATAGAGGGTGGGTGGTTGGGTGAGGGCATATGATTGTTGGGCTTTTCTCTCTTTTCTCTGTATTATTGTAGGGCCTTTACCTTACACTACAAAGCACCTTGAGGAAACTGTTGCTGTGATTTGGCACTATATAAATAAAATTGAACAGAATTATTTAACACAGACAACTATAGTCAGATTTTGATCTGCAATGCAATTCCATCTGGAAAGTGTCGGATTGGCAGTGGCTTTGTTGTTCAGCATGACAGTGCCCACAAACATGCTGCTAACATAGTAAAAGCATACCTAAATACAAAAACACATAGTGAGACACTATCAGTCGGTGTATCTTTCTACTGTACAATATAAAGCGTCTTGAGGCGACTGTTGTTATGATTTGGCACTATATAAATAAAATTGAATTGAATTGAACTGAATTGGCTTCTCCAGAGCCAGGACCTCAAAATTACTGAAGCAGTGTGGAAACAGAACAAAAGGCAGAAGAAGTGAAGAAGAGCTTCCTTCAAGAAACCTGGAGAAACCTTCCCGAAGACTACTTAAAGAAATTACAAGAAAGCTGCCTAAAAGAGTTCAGGCTGTATTGAAGAACAAAGGTGATCATCACAAATATTGACTTTCAGGCGTGTTAGAAGATTACACACTCTGTTCTTTCTGTTCTTTCCTTATATACTGTATTTCCATGTATGTTTGCATGTGTTTCAATAATCTCTGAAGATATTTCCCATTTTCCTAGTAAAATATGAAGAAAAGAGGTGTGGCTCAAGACTTTTGCACATCACTGTAAATAGTAACCTTCTTTTTTTCTCATTGGACAAATGTAACGCATTGGTAAGCGTTGCTTTTCAGATTCAAGTAGAAAAATATGTTTTGATCAAGAAATTCATCATTATTAATTAACAGGGTTGTTTTGTATGTAAAAA